CAATCGCAGAACAACCTATCAATAACAAGTAACTAGTCATATCTCAACAATTTTTTCCTAGAGAACCGCTTGAAAAGCAGGAAGGTGGGAGAAGTAATTTCAATAGTGGTTTTAAGAGAAATAAATTCAGATCCAGCTCGACATGTAAAGCTATAGAGCTTCACATTTGACTTGGGAGTTGTATATGAGATTTTCTCTGGCCCTCCTCTTGTCTTTGAATTCATTATGTAAATAGAATTTAGACGCATCTATTCTAGCTAGTCCTGTTAAAATTTTAAAGACATATTGACATCAAAACACTTTCTTCGCGAACATAAGGTGTGTAGCTTATATTCTTCATTTCTACAAGGCGATTGTGGTATTCTGGAGTATTTACAGTCCCCAGATCTGATGAATATTTTACGAGTGAAATTATTTTGAATTTTTTCAAGTAGCTGAATGTCTTTCTTTTTGTAGGGCTAAAAACCGTAGTCCCACATTCTGCCACAGGTCTAACGTAGATTTTGTAAGCCATAACTAACAACTCTTTATCTGTCACTGTAAGACCTTTGAAGATTTGATATGTTCTGAATGCAGCCCTCTTGTAGAGCGCATCAAAATGAAGAGAAAAAGATAGTTTATTGTCGTAGTGGAAGCCTAGATCTTTGACAGAAGAAACATTCTTGAGGGTTATGATTAGCTAGGCAATATGAGCTGTTGAGGGACTCAAGAGCCAAATTCTCATGGCGAACGAGCAAGGTAATTCCGTTTTTTCAGGCGCTAAAGGTAAACTCCATTGAATGGACCAATCATAAATTTTGTTAAGTGCGTTCTGTATCATCCTCATGTCATTCACATTATCAACCATCCTATAAATTTTAACATCATCTGCAAATTGTTTACATATAACACCACAGTTCTCAAGAAGTTTGGGAAGCTCAGCTGTATATATTGAAAAAAGGATCGGAGATAAACACACCCTTGGAGGAACTCCACTTCTAACATTTCTTACATTCGAGAAGCCTTTTCCTATTCTGACTTGAAAAGTTCTACCTGACAAATAATCATTTAACCAACGACAAATGAGAGGATGAAATTTCAGAAGAACAAGTTTATGCATAAGTTTGGAGTGATCAACTTTGTCAAAGGCCTTACAAAATGCGGAAATAGGATCACATCACAGGACTCTTGTTTGTCTAAAATCATCCAATCATTAAGCAGCGCCAGGAGGTAGTTCGCTGACCCTTCCTGGCATAAACCCATGCTGATTGACTGGGATGATTCCATTCTTTTCAAGGTGACACATAATGTGCTTTTTCAAAACCTTTTCAAACATTCGACAGAAATAAGATGTGATACTGACAGGTCTATAGTTCTCAACAGAATAGGATGGTTCTTTCTTAAGGAGTGGGGTGACAAAAGAATGTTTCCAATTCAGTGGAACTTCAGAATAGCATAACGATTGGTTGAAAATGTAGGCTAAAGGTTCAGCTATAATATGGGCAATCTTTCTCACAAACCAACTGACTGCTTCCTCGTTGAAAGTGTGTTACTTCATCGTGAGGCAATACAGTGGTCATAATCAATCGTAAGAAAACCAAGACATTTGTTTTAGGAGGTTTTCGACCAATTCTTTTTCAGTGGTGAGCCAATCAGCCCTTTCGACACCAGTGTCATCATTTGTGTAGTTTTTCCAACTCTACACAGGACCACGGCGTAATTCGAGCGGTAGCTAAGCAAGAACTACGGCTAGACCTAAAAGTTGAAGATGGATGTAAGATTTAGATATTCGCTTTTGGCCCATGGGCAGTCCAAGCCACAACCTTTGGCCAAAATTCGCTGCAGCTCCGTTTGGTTTAGGAATGACGATTGATAAGTACTAGGGCCATTGCTGCTGCCTCAAGGAATCACAAGCTCCTAAGGCCGTTTAGGTTCTTAGCGAACTTACCTTTTCGCGCTCACCCACGGTATTGCCCAAGCTGTCTAGAATGTTTTGTTCGTATACCTGAAGCCCTGCGAGACTGGTAATTACTGTGGATCTAAAAAACGATCAAAGCTATGCTAGCTCTCCGATGTCGATATCAGCAGCTTTTTGAGCGCGTGGGAGCGCCCGAGAGGACCGGTTGCCGTAATTTCTTTGCACTTTAGGCGAACATTATGAACAACTGCTCGCGTCAAAAAAAATCCACACGCGCATTTTTTACGGTCAATGAGTTCTCGACGTTTGAACTAGGCTCCATCTGGCAGTCTGCATGCCTTTCTGATCGTGGTCGATTGATTGACTACTGAGTATAGGAGCTTCTTGGCGAAACAAATTATGATCTTGAGGTTATTGTGTGGGGTTGATGACGTATCAAAATCTCGATACTTGACAAAATGTGGGTGAGGATTCCACAGAAATAATTGAAGGAACCTTGTGTCAATGAACTTCGGAAAGAGGAGGCGCAGTGACTTGAAGAACTGCCCTGCGCTCTGCCCTTCATAAGCAATTTTATTTATATTTGATCTCCCTACTTTATAGTTCATTTGATTTGATGTCTTGGGTATAACTGTAGCACTGACTTGTAACTTATTTGAACATTTCATGCCCCTGATGTGTTGACTCTTCACGCATGCAAATGTATAGACGACTCTTAGTGGATGTAAGATGCGTGGCGCAATCAAGAATAGTGGCTCCATTGCATTTTAATTGATTTGAAGCTATCTTTGAATGCTAGAAACAGTGGCTTCGACATCCGATCGCGTCCAAAAGTGATTTATTGGCGAAATGTGCTCTCGAAAATGCCGCGATTCTAAAAAACGCCATGTGCATTAAAAACTGTTGTCGAGCATTTCATCCTTTCACATTACACGTTTCCTTATAGGCAGAGTGCAAATGAAAAGCCAGCCTATCGGATCGGGGATGTAAGGGTAAGGTGGTCGTGTGTAAGAGATGGAAGGAAGGGTATGAGAAACGACCCAGAATTTCAGATTAGATCCCCTCCTTGCTGTTGATTTCCGCATGATGCGGATTCATCGTTGCTGCCCTCATCAATGCCAACGTTCACTATTTACGAAGGTTCGTCAGGCAGCCGAGAGTTAGGCCGATGTCAGACTTTGCGAATCGCGCGATTCGCTACTAGCGATTCGCGCGATTCGCTAGCGTCCGCGGTCGCGTTGCGGTACCAGCCAATTGAGTGATTCACTGGCCGCGACGCGACCGCAGACGCTAGCGAATCGCGCGATTCGCAAAGTCTGACATCGGCCTAAGGGACGGAGGGACTTAGCAGGGGAGGGGAGGGAGGCGCGGCACAACTTTGATCCTGCTAGGCCACTAATTGGAATCCTGTTCGACTACGTAAACGCGCTCGTTCGCACCCTCCAAAAGACCGCCTGCTAATAAGAACATTTCCCTTCTTCGAGTTCCCACCTCATTGTGAAATCATCCTTTAAGGCAGTCAGTCTACAGTCCATAATACTTCTTATAAATAAAGTCATCCATCAAAGTTGCCCTTGTGTTCCATTTTTTAGGTCTCGGACAACTGTCATAAGGTGCGTTGCAATGGTCATCCTAATGTTTCCAAGTGAGTGTTTTGCTGTACAGGCATAACATTAAGTCGCATCAAATGGCTGTCATCGGGGCCATGGTCAGTGAAAAAGGTCCTACAAAAACCCTCTCATCGATCTTCGGCATCGCGACTTCGCGCTGAATATCGAGAAGTTGGTTTTTGCGATGAGTTCTGAGTTTCCTCTCAAGGCTAGCGATCAAATCAGTACGGCGCCCCATTTAGGGCAGGCAATGTCTGAAAACGTTGATGGTCATCAACTCCACAGAAGGGAACTGGCAGACTTTGAGAGGTTATGGGGTTACGGTAGCGTCGCTACTAGCCATGCTAGTGCGGATGTGCACTAATTTCAAGAAATCGCAAAGTATGACAGGATAGCTGGAGCCAGGAATGCACCACGCATTCCTCCTCAATTTATAGTCGCTTCATAATTGAAGTTCGATTTGGCCTACAGGACGATCTGTGGTCAGCCGCTGCTTTTTGTATTCCCATATGAGTGTGGCACCAATTTAGTGATTCTGGATGGATGACTTGGGTGACCTTGGTGAGAAGTATCCCTAGACTTGATTTCTTGGCCATGCCTTTGGCTTACTAGGCTTGTGATGCTATACGGCAGCGAGTACTGGCCCTGAACAAGAATCACGAAAGGCAGCTTCACTCCGCTGAGATGAGGATGCTGAGATGGGCCTGCGGCTGGACGCGACTGGACAGGGTCAGAAACGAGGATGTCAGAGCGGTCATGCAGACTGCCCCTGTCCAGCTGAAGGTACGGGAACAGCGTCTGCGATGGTATGGGCATGTGCTAAGGAGGCCACAGGATCATCCGATAAGGAACAGCGACTTCGAAGTGCAAGGCAAGCGACCAGCGAGGGGCCCAAAGAAGAGCTCCTATAAGAATTCCATGGCTAACTCTGGCCAATGATAGTTGAGTGGGCACGTCGATTTTCTGAACACGGTAGGCGCGAATGTATGTACATGGGGATTGCTGCCGCCACTGCTATGACGTAGACCGACGCTGGAATCATACTGACTGCACTCACCACCCCTCCACCTGAATTGGCTGC